CACCGCTGTCGCTCTTCGGATGGTGACAGTCACCGGCAACGGCACAAGCGAGCCGTCCTCTGTAGGTCATACAAAATCCAGAAGTCTTGACCATTTTGTTTGTCCCCATCTCTCTTCCCCTTTTGTAAAGTGAGGGACCATCACCCCTCTTCAGCCATCTTCAGCTGCACACCAAAACCGTGACAGAGCAGGAGGGGTATTTTTACGATGGGTGCACAACAACGCAGGCTTGGTCCGGGGCTCTGCTTTTCAGACTTCAGCCATTGCTGCAATATAAACACCACCACTAGACTGGGCGTACCCACTGGAAAACAATAATAGGCACCACTTGATAAAAGGTTCTGGTCATTATTTTCTCAAGGTGTTTTGTCCAAGCACCAATGTTTTTGTGAAACTGAAGAAATACATTCAATTTCCCTTAATTCTTTTGTGCAATTTCTGCCTCAGGGTGTTACATACTATTACTGTGTGCTGTTAAACACCTGTTGCGTTTTATTCCAAGGTGACTAAAATAATTATTTTTCTAGTTACTAAAGCATTTGGAGTGCTTCCAGGATGAAAGCGAATACAGAAATGCCAAACATTTACTATTCTAATAGATAGCCATCAGTGCTTTATGAACTATCCCATTACATCCAAAAAATATCATTGTGATTTCACAAAGGGTCTTGAGAACATTTGCTTTAAATTGAAAGACTCTATTTCTACTACACAAAGAACACTGTTAATATCGATCCAGGTGCTCCATGGAGCAATCTGATCTTTTCATTGCGGCACTACTGAAAATCTAGTCTAGTACACTGGTAAAACTGCATCTTTCAAAGTTACCAACATTAAAAACGCAAATTGTTACATCTTTCATTAATTAAAAGAGGCTTATAATAGCATTAACAATCCTTTCATCGAAGTGTGTCATTTAGGTAATGGCAGCCTAGCACATTAACTTCCCTTGGCTTTGCCTTGGCCTTTTAACTCCTCCAACAGATTATTACCTAATTTGTAAAGTCTCCCAAATGGGTCATTAGCTCTTAAATAGATTTCTCCTGCTGTTTGGTATAAACCCTAGAAACAGTAGGCTGTCAGAGAGATAACTGGTTTGAAGTAGCTCTTTCTGGGAAAAAAAAAAGTTAAAGAAATGCCAGATTAAATTACGTTTCTGAAATGAATCATGGCTTGAAATATCCCCGATACATGATTAACTAAGACATCACATAGAATTTATTTTTTTCCACAAAAGAAGACTGGCTTCAGAACGTATGCAAGCATATGTGCCCTTGTAAGCACCTGCAACTCCTGCTGCTACCAATCCCTAACGGCAATCGCACAACCAGGCAGTCATCTAACGTGCTAAACTAGGAAACCAAGGAGAAAGGCTGACGGGACCGGGTCCTGGACTCCTGGCACAGCGACCTTCCCGCTCTGCCTCCCCAGCTCGGCCTCAAAATCGTGAGCCAAAGGCAGAGAAACCGGAGACCACAGGAAAATCAGAAGCATTTGATCCAAGTATATGCACTGCCCAGGGCAATGCTACATTCGCCAGCCGAGTTAGTGATAATGTCCTCTGCCAAGCGAGAAAAGCAAAAGATCGTTTGGACCTCCTCAGCCATAGATTTCATTTTTGGGTTTTTTTTTTCTTACCTTACAATATGATGTAGAGCATTAGACTGAAATAAGTTGGTGTGACTAAGTAAAAACTCTTTGTGCTAACCCACTCATCTGCAAGCTATTCATGTGAAACAGAATAAATGACTACTGGCCGGCAATATCTGCACTGCAGGAACTTTGAATATGGAGGTGTTGAACAAATTACATGTTTCCACACAAAGAAAATAACACTTAAGGTATAACAACACTTCAACTTTTTCAACTATATTCCACTAATAAAACTTTAGTGTTAGCAAATGCTCCCATTTGTTTATGCCACAACTTCTTTGTTCTATTCTTTTACTTTTATAAATCTTTCAGAGGCCCTCCTCCTCTCTGGCTCTCTCAGTTTTACCTATTTTCAATGCAGTCATCACCTCTTTCTGAGAATAGGCTACTCTGGACTAGTTTTACCTGGTTTGCTGAAAGGGCAACACCTTTATGGTTTATGCCCTTAGCAAGGACAAGAGATGCGGTGTCTTTTGAGATTAAAATCGTTGTCTGGTATGGCCCAATATATGTAGATCTGCAGAACATTAATTAACATACTAAAATCAACACCCTCACTAGTGTTTTCACAGCAAACAAATACGTCTCTATCACTATGAAATTCTCAATTTCCTATTTCCGTAATTCTCCCCTGGAACAAGTCACGTATACGTTGTAGATATTTTGGTCACTATGACCTTTATGCAGTATCATCAGAGGCAACACACAATTGCAAAGCTGAAAACCAGAGGACTCTGTGATCAAAGACTTTTAGTTATTTTCCAGAAATGCCTTTTTATTTAAGAAATCTGCTTTATAACTTGTTCTGACAAATGTCACAGCTGGAGAAATTCTTCCTCTAAGGGAAGATTTATGATCTATAGCAGAGCTTGCTTTCTTTGTGTTTTTCAGGAGACTGGATTCATCAAATACAAACTGCTCTTTGATTTGTGTGTCTGCATGTTCAGCAGAAAGAAATTAAATACAAGAATAGGAAAAATGACAATACTCTTTATCTATAGGTAACTTTTTGGCACAGAAATATCATCCAGGGTGATCAACTGAGGTACTAGCGTAGAATGATGTGGTCGGAACAGGGTTTCCCACAGAGAAAACTATGCTTTTTCTGTTCTTCATGCATGCCACCACATTGGCAAGCACATCAACGCCCCAGCAGATGGTTTGAGTAGGGACTGCCAAAACACCACACGCAGAAGGTTGTCCTTCATGGGAGGATTTCAACTGAGGAACGTCCATCTCTTGAGAGGTCAGGGTACCTGAAATGTACCTGAAATGTTGCAGGACATATAGCCCAGAGCAGAAGTAATTGTAAGGATAACCTAGTTCAAGACTCGTCACCTCTGAACAGCGAAAAAGAAATAAGAATATAACTCTCCTTCCTTGGAGAAGACTCCAAGGAACCAGCAGCAACCAAAACCTGCGACACAGCTGTTTTCCTCTGACTGGGTTACAAATGCCTGGGGAGCTAAGGGGCCTGTGACTCAAGGCTCAGTTTGGCCAAGGGCCACAACACAGATCTCCTGAGCTCACATTGGTGAGGACTGAGGCCATTTGCGCTTTGAAGTGGGGTTTCAAGAGGATAAGCTTAGTCAGCCTGGAAAGGACAAATACAACTACAAAATTTGAGCGAGAACAGTCAATAAGGTCTTGTTTACAAGAAAGCCTCTGAATAACTTCTGTGCTCAAAGTTAAAAGGTTGCTTGAGTTCTTTCCTGAATCAGGACTGAATGCTGAAAATACTGGACCGAGGGGGTGATGAAAGGTTGTCAGTTGACTTCACTGCGATATGGTATCAGCTTTTGCAAGCTGCTTTTTTATTCATTAATACACTGATACATCTCAAAAGTACATGAGGGATACACTGCAAAACATTTAAATGTGTTCTGATCTCCAGGAATCAGCAATAACCTGCAGTGTCTCCCTCTGAAATGGACCTGATGCCACAGCTGTCCTGAACTCTAGGTGCCGTATTTTTGACACCTTCTGCTATTTCGGCTGTAGCATTCTCAAACTGGCCAGCCACTCAACTCAAACTAAGGGCGTTCAGCACTTTTAAATTCCCGAAGACAACCACTGTCTTTGTGGTTCGCTTATAAAACTGAGAAAAATACTAGTTTTACTATTGAAGGATGATGCTTTAGGTAATTCCAAAGTCAAATAGCTGCTGCTGAATCACAGTTAGCCCCATAAGTATTGGAACATTTTAAATCATAAAGGTCTGTACTTCATATAGTAGAGATTAAGTAATTTTGAACAATACGTGTGACAAATGCAAAAAGTATCATTTGGTGACTTACAGTTTTAAAATGCCCAGTACAACATTCAAAAGTAATCTGATGCTCACAGTCTCTATGCTCATCTCTTTGGTTAGGCTGAGTATCATTATTACTGGTAAACAATATGATTTCTTTTTTTAAAAAAAAATAGTCTATGCAATCCAGTTGAAGACAAATCTATGATGTTTTAATATTTGGTTTGTATTTCTTCTCCCACTTGTGACTTTTTCTGATTCAGTTTTTTTTTTAAAAAATCAAAGTATCATTTGCTGATAAAAAAGGCATTGTAGCATATTTCCAATGTATACAGTATTTAAGTCCAGGTAAAAGTAAATCAGCTATAAATTAGTGTATTTCACATATAAAAATGCTCTTTATGTTTACATTTTAGGCCACAAACTAGTCTCAAACTGCTTAAAGTAGGCACTTAAAACAACCTGCACTTGACCAAAAATAATATCCGTCATTTTTTGGTTACTGAATAACTCTGACACCACTTCTCTTTGTAATATGCTTATGAGACCAATAGGCACAGCTGATCATTGGGTATTATGAGCCTGAAGTAGAAACTGAAAATAGCTTCAGTCTTCCTTGTTGTTCGTTATTTGCCTCACTTCAAGGGAAGGCGTCACACATACTTGAAGACAACAGTTGAGTTGAAGTTTTCCCCCAGAATAAGCCCCAGCAGTTGCCTCTTGCGCTTTCGAAACAGTTTGTCAAACCAATTGCACCACTTGCATGTTCTTACATGGGAAGACCCCCACTCCTGGGCGCTGTAACGGGCTGCAGCTGAAGGTGATGCTACGCACTGATGCTAAGCACTACTCATCAGGCACTAACTTACAGGAACTGTTTCTTTGGTCACATGTTGTTTAATCATGAAACATGATGGTCCGGAGTGGACAGTATTTTTCTTCATCCTGAGCCACGGCAACCCTCCCAGGTTATTTCAACAACTGGCCATATGTGTTGATGCAGACCCCAGCCTATTTGTCCCTGAGCCGATAACATTTGTCCCAACAGTGCTGGCTGTTTCAACAGGCAGTTACTATCCGAGTGAAGCCATGTTAATTATTTCCCTGAATAGCCAGGGTATGGAGGGGGTGGGGGATACTGTATCGAAGTCTGTGGGGTTGGAGTATAAGGTGGAGGTAGGTCAGCTGGGTACTCCATTTCGTATTCGTAACTGTATGGTGGCGGAGCCACTGAAATGGGAGAAAAAAGAAGACATAGTTAAAAATCTCTTTTTTTCAGATGCAGGCCCCCCAAGTATTTTCCAGTTGACATTCAGACTTCCATACAACAGATGTAAAGTCTCCTGGCAATGCGCTCACTTGTTTTTCATGCTGTCATTATACAGTTACTTTATGTCAATGCAAGTCCTTGCTTATTACCCTTTCCTTCACTGCTTAGTCATATGCCCATCGACACGTGCTGGCAAGAGTGTTTGAGTGGCCATATGGCAGATGATACCAGGGTGATGTGACAGAGCTAAACTTTTTCAGGGGAGAGAGGTTGGGTTTTCATCAGATCCACTTCCTTCCACCCCCTTCAGCAGCAAGGTGGATCTATGTTGCCTCAAAATGATGGGGTAGCCAGGGCTTTTGCTGATCTCCACAGACCTCTCAAACACCCTCTGGATTCCCAGGAGATGTGTGCCATGCCATGCCAATCACAGCAGCATCACACCTCCCAGGGCAAACACCATATTCCCAGGAAGGTTCCAGGGCTTGGGCTTTCGCCTTGTTCACCCCAAAGAAGACATCTGAGGAGAGCCCAGTGTTTGTAAACTGGGTAAGCCATTAGGAAACAACAAAAATATTCACAAACAGCTGAAAATATTTTCTCAACTACTTCTACTAACCTTAGAGAAGAAGGATTAGTTCATTGATCAAAAAATGCTGCAGAATGATAGCATGGTAGGAACTGAAGGCTCCATATCAAGACCGCATTAGAGTAGTCTCTACAAATTTTAAGGTCCAGAGTCTGCTCATGTCACCATGTCACTGTTAAGGTCCAGAGTCTTCTCATGTCTCTGTTTATGTCACTACGGATGCTCTCCTATCCCCTCCCTAGCTGTCTCAATCAGACTGACAGTGAAATAGTACTTGAATAGAGAGGAAACAGAAACCTAAGATGTTTGTGATGGGGAAAAGAGATTTAAATGCCAGTGTGCCATGAAAAGCACTCCCTGCTCTCTGAAAACCCGGCTGTTCCTGTAGCTGAAGCCAAAGGAAGGGCATGCCCTCACTTGGCGTTCCTGTCCAGAACAGGTAATGGCAGGAGAGACGGCTGGTCACAAACCCTGCAGCCAAAGCCAGGCCAGTCATTACTCCAGAAGTGTTCATGACAGCAGGGAACACAGCAATCATTTCAGAGCTTCCCCATCTTCCAAAAACTGCTGCCGCTGAGAGGAAGAACTGCTCAAACCAATCTTTGCACCAGGAGTGTGCAGACAAACTGCCTGGAGGTGGAGAGATAGGGGTGAGTCATTGCAGGAGCAGACTTGGGGAGGAAAAGGCTACAGCTCTGGAGTCTTCATTTTGCTCTTGTTTTTACAGCTTGCAGTGACTATTAGATTCTGAAGTAGCTCTTCAGCAATTCATGGTTGAGAATATTGCAGGTTTTTTTTCATTACTCATCTCTCTATGCAAAACAAGGTTGCAATGATAAGGATGATTATAGATGGTTTTAGTTTAACTGAAAAGTAAGAGAATGAGGGAGAAAGACACTGAGAGCAGTGAATGTGACAAAGGAACACATAATAAATATTGCATAGCTTGCCTATAAGCATACATAATGCACCTGGGGTTTGCTACAACCTTTGCAACAGGAGGGAATATAAAGGCAGGGGATCTGTAAGAGTGAGATGAGGGGACTTTATCCATGAAACACCATTGCCTTTTATTACAGTGAACTCCCAAGTTATCCCAAGGCAATCGCTCCTGGCTTTGTAATTAACAATGTCACTGAACCAGAGACATAGCTGCATGGCATAAACACTGTTATGCTTCTTCCAGGTCAGCTTTGCTCTTCAATAATGCGGCCACTTTCACGTGGCGGGGAGTTCAGACAAATGAGCCTTGCAGACCCCAGCTGGCTCAGTGCAGATCCACCTTTGGTGCTCCTGTGGCCCAGTCCTAGACTGATGTGAGTTGACAAGTGTGGTGCAGAGAGTGGCTCTGCACAGAGCTAGCTCAGGTACAGCCTGATGTACCAGTGCCCACTCACTATGGGCACAACGGCACTGGAGCAGACCCATGAGGGCTTCCTACTGTCCCCTGGGGTGCCCCAGAGCCTGTGACAGCTTATTAACTCAGTGCCAGATCTGACTTAGGCTCTGCACCTCCCCTGGTGCAGCCCTAAAAACCCATTACACCAAAACAATGTTAACCCACAGACAAGCCTGCATTGGGCACGTCCAACACTCAGCTTACTCTGACCAAGGCACAACGTGCATCTCTGCACCGTGCTCCAAGTTCCTATCAGTTGAGGCATGGTGCCAGGCGGGTGCAGAGAGCTAGCCTGCATCCAGCACCACGTGCCAGCCAGCAGTCCCTCCTGGGACGCACAGCACAGAGCAGCCTGCAAAGACGCCCGTGTGCCTTTGTAGAAGTCATCTGGGATCCTGCAGCACCCAGCAGGGCTTGTGAGCTCTGGCTGAGGACCAGCCAGCTTGGGCTGCATTAGACTCCACATGGCACTACTCAAAGCCTTTGCGCTATGATCCACAGACCTTATTGTCCAGGTTTTCCCCTCTCTGTGGTATGCCGGGCCCCTATTATATCAGATAATGAAAGGGAGCTGACTGCACGTGAACAAGAGCAAATACAAGAACCAGAACACAAAAGAAGAACAACTGATCCGTCGCCAGAGAGCCTCTGGCACAGAGAGAAGGTCCGTCCTGCACAATGCAGCACCGCCCTGAGCGAGGTCTCAACATGCTACTGCGGGCACCGCAAGCCATACAGCTGTGTATGCTACTGCGGGCACCCGGCCAGATCTCATTAGCCCACTGAGTAGCTGAATAAATTAGCCCAGGCAGAGTGCTGCACTGACGAACACTGCACAGGCTGAGCTGTCTTGCGTTTCTCAGCAGGGAGTCGTGCCATTCCCCTCCGGACTGAGAAGAGCCTCCTGCTGTATTCACATCCCCCATTTACTGCAGAGCCATAACTATCCAAAGATACACTCCTGCCATGAACACAGGCACTCTTGCAGGACTGTCATTTTGCTTCCTTACCTGGGTACGTGCTGATAGTGTTGATGTGCGTAGTTCGGATGACCCCTACTCGAGTCCCACGGTTGTTCTTCATGCACATGCAGATACAGATGGCAATCCCGGCAATCACTCCCATTATAAATACTATACCGAAAACAATTCCAGCTATCGCTGTGCCTCTGCAAGGGGAATGGAAACATGCAGTCAGTCTCAGTCAAATAATGTTTACAAAACAAAATTATTTTCTCAGGAGCAGCCCTCATTTGAGGAAAAAAGTGCATATTGATTCCTGAAAATGCTACAAATTTTGATCCATCGGGGCATTTGAATAGAAGAAATGAAAGATCTCCAAGACCAAAATGAGAAACTCTTTCAAAGTCACCTTTGCAATCATGCCAGATCACTCTGCTGATTCACCCTATGTTAAATCCTCCCATTCCAGGACCTTTTGAATACAACTACTTTTAAATATCACCAAGAATAATTTCTTTTGTTTCCCCTCATCACACAAGACTTTTTTTTTTTTTTTCCCTGAAGGCATTGGTATGATTTTCTTTTGAAAAGAAAGAGTAAGTTATCCCCAGTAAGCTATTCCAGAAGCATCCCGAAGCGTTTGCATGCTGTGCTTCCACAGGAATAGTTTTGTCATTGTTTCATCTTAGGTCAAAAAGTCCTTCTGCTGTGCTTCTGAGCCCACAGATTAAGGGGAGCCTCCTCTTCTTGAGGATGCTTTGCAAGAAGCAAAGCAAATGCCCACTCTTTCACACATCTGCTGCTGCAGCCAGCACAAGTATTTGAGGCTTAAATGACTTCTTTTAAAATGGTCCAGAGGAAAGAATTTAGCTCAGCCCCTGAAGTAATGAATCAGACTTTCCTTGAAATTACATAGAGAAAGGAAACGAAGCCTTATTGCACTGACACATGGGAGAAAAACCTCACCAAGAGGCACTGAAGAGCTCCCGATAATATTGAGGGCAAAATCAGCCTTTCTGATGAACCCTAGTTCACTCAGGTTTGTTGTCAGGCACAGGCAGTGAAGCATATGTTATATGAAAGATGATATTTATAGCCTGCCCTTTTATGAAAAAAAAAAAAAACTCCAGTGACTTGCCAGAAATATTCTTACTCTGTGCATCTCTTCATCTTCCAACAAAGATTTCAAATAGCAATCTTGCTGGCAACTTTTTTACTGGACATTTTAATCAATCCAAACTGATAAGTTTGTCAACATGAATAAGATCCACTAGGAATTATTGCAATGTAGAGAATAAAAGAGGCACTGCAATACTACAAAGACAAATAGTAAAAGGAGTCTAAACCATAGTTTAGCTTTCCCATATAAGCGTGGGAACACACAGCAGACCTGATTTTCAAAATGCTGATAGCCTACTGGCTTCCAAAAAGTCAGCAAGAGTCAGGATGGATTCAATATTTGAAAAATCATACGGTCTATTTAGGAACCTAAATATGAATTTAAGAGCTTGTTTTTAGGCCCCAACTATTCAGGAACTTGGCCAAGATTGGCAGTACAATTACTGAATTGTATATCATAAGTAAACACAGACAATCTGCTGTCTTACTAAAATACACTGGCAGGGAGCTAAACTGCTCTCTGCTGTTATGTAGCAATGAATGAAGGGTATGCAGGCAGAGTAAACCTGTTAATATTTTGCAGGCCTAATTTATGAATCCTTAATTCATGGCAGCAAGCACCTGGCCGTAAAACCAGTAGCTCAAAACACTGATGTGATCAACTGCTTTGGTATCAACCACTATGAGCAACTGAGAAACAACCCCCCTCCACTGCTTCCACATCCCCGATAGTTTGCATCTAAGAAAAAGAGAGTCTGACGCTCCTGAAAGATGGGACCAAGAGACTTCGAGTTTTGCCATCCTGCTCCCTCTGGGAACATCATCTCTACCTTGAGAGAAACTGCTGTATGAGAAAACAGTTTGATTCAGGAGACACTTCAACACAATACTCCCTTCATTCCAGAAAGTTTTCTTGTAATACCACAATTAAAAAAATTAGGCATAATGCACAGTACCCCTGTTACAAACAACAGTGAATTGCTAGTGCTTTTGCTACATCCATTTAGTGGATGAATCACTGTGCCCTTCACTCAGAGCACTGCATCGCAGAGTCGCAGGGAACTGGTATGCTGAAATAATCCCTCTCCCAGGTGGAAGAAGCAGAACCAGCCACAGCTGACCACTGGCCTCTCGTACTGCATTGCGTTTCTGCTTTGTGCACGGTCCGCTGCTGCCCAGCTCCAGCATCCCAGGTACGTTCTGCCAGGCTGACCTGCTCAAATCCCAGAAACCACAACCGTTTCCTGCACTTCTAACCAGTTGCACCCTGAAGATAACCCAGCCTCCATTCTAAGGGCCGACAGAAGTGGGTAACACACAATATTGAGTGCACACTTAGCACACATAACCTTCCCAGCGCTCAGTTAAAAGTTCTATATGAATAAAGCCCATTTTAAACACAGTTTCAATAGAGATTGTCTCAGCTGTCTCCAAAGGCAAAGGTGTCTCATTTGTTCCAGAAATGGTGAGACCATTTGGTCATCTGCCCTGAGCCACGGGAGAAAACACTCTTCATGTGTTGGATACCCCAGCCTCACACCCAAAGCCCACTCTCCCCTTTCACATCAACAGCAACTGCTCCAAAGCAGTATCACTCCACTAATTTAAATGATGATTCAGTGACAGTTTATGTAAGAAGTAAGAGTGTTCATAAAGAAAGGAAGAAAGACAAAAAAAAGTCCCATACCATCTTCAAAAGGAGTTTCCACCCTTCCTGAGATATTAAGCAGATACTTATGTACTTGCCAGCTTGCCTTGGGTGACAGAACTGAGATCCAAGGACTCACTTGCAGTCCTACAGCTTTTTCCTAGTGATGCTTTGGCGGTGTCGGCTGACTGGCACTATCTTGCCTCTGCAAGGAAACGGCAGCAGGGCAGGACACAGCTGTAGAGAGCCCCTTCTTGGAGCAGGTATCTGCCTGCATCTGAAATTCAAAAAGGGCTGAAATGCACTGGCAAAACTTCCAAGCTGGAAAAGGCCTCTAAACACAACTATATTAGAAAGCAAAACCCACTTCTGCCAGGCTAGCAAACCTGAGTCAGTAAGCAAAATAAGGAACATCCACTAAAGCATTCTTCTGCTGGTTCCCACGATAGGTCCTGCTGGTACAGCCATGAACCAGAAGCAAAAATGGTCACCAAAGAAAATATTCACCAGCTTAGTTCTGCTGACAAAACTGGTAAGTGCAAGTCATGCTCATGGTTCTGAAATCAGGACAAAAAGCCGTTTAAATAGCTAGACCCACCGCTGCTCACGGATTCAGGTTTTCACACTGCAGTGGTAAATTTAGACCACCTATGGATTGTTATGCAAAGAGAGCCTGAGATACGGAGCAAAAGATGTAGGTCACTTTTTTAAATCCAGTTACAGCCTGACCGAGTACCAGCAGAAAGGCGCTTGCTGGTCTCGGTGGGCTTCAGATCAGATCCAGTGCCACCCATGTGAAACTGTTCCAGGAATCAAGTGTTTGCCTTGAAAAGGATCTGAGAGGACTTCAGGAGATGTACTCTCCCAAATACATATAACAGAACATATGTAATGCTATACCATTCTCTGAAGGTGAGTCAAAGCGTAAACCCATCCTAATTCAGAGACTTGCAGCCCCTGCCACTCACAACGGTCCCCAGTAGAACGAGAAGCACTCTGCCTCTAAACATCAGGCTGCACCTTCTCAGCACCAAATCCTGGCAGGATGACGGTCATGCAGTAGCTGTTCTGGGCACACAGCACAAAAATAAATGCTTGTTCTTTTGGTGGAAAGCCTATGGTATGACTAGAAGGTACGAAGAAAAATAAGCATGTATTTTGCATAAAATGGCAAGGTTTCTCTTTGTGCTGTTAGGGAATTCTTGAAAATAAATATCATGTAAGTAAATATCCCTTATTTTATATTAAAAAAAAAGCTTGCTTTGTCTCTCTTTCTCTCACTGATGTTTTAGACTTCTGTGTAGAGACACAGAGGGATACAGCAATTTTTCATGCTATAACCACCATAGAGCTGGTCAAGGGAAAGTACCTAAGAGGAAAAGGACACTGTAAAGCAAAAGAAGACCTAGAAACCACACAGCAGAGTCACATAACAACTAAGAAGTTTGAAATAAAGAGAAAACTTTGAAATGGAACAATTTGAAGGAAAACATTATGCAAAGTCCTTTACAGAAGCAAAGCAAATGAAGAGAAAAAGACTGCCACAGAAAAACAGTGCACAGAAAAGTAAAGATGTAGAGGGGGAAAAGTAATATTAAAGCTGTGGAAATGTCAAGAGACATTGTTGGGGTAAAACCCAGATATTCAAAGCAGCAGCTTTCCACCTGCATTTAGCAACATCCCTCTGGAAAGAATATGAATCTCATTCACAGCTTAACGTTTCTGGCCTACCAGAACACTCTGCAGGGGATCAGGCCTTTTGCTGGTGGCACCAAGGCCTTGGCAATGTTGGAGCCAGGCAGGGCTCTCACTACTCCTGCAGCCAGCGCGGCTAAGGTGCCCGGGGTCAGAGAACCCATCCCTCGGGGGAACCGCTAACTTGGTGTTTCAAACAAGTGGCAGAGGTGTCACCAGCAGTCACTCCAGCCTGCCGTGGCTACGGTTGAGACAACTGGCGAAAAGGAGAGAGACTGAAGAGCAGCCCCGCTCCTTGAAGTCTTAATGAGTGGGAACGGAGTTCATTTAAGCCCCTTTCCCCTCCAGAAGGCTACTACTTTGGGAGTTAGGCAAGCAACGTGGATGTCAAACTTGCTCAAGATGAGTATCACCTCTGCAGTCATCTCCAGTTTGGGGACAGTGGACCTCAGAGGCCTACAAACCTTATGGCTCAATAGGTTAGTGCTTCCTGAAGGAAGAATGATTACTGAATAGGCATAAATTATCAAATGCATTGCCAAAATTTGGGAGCCAGGTATACATGGCTTGCACTGCTGAATGGCAGGGACTTTGTAGTCCGTTGGCCTCTGGTTTTCCTTCTTGAGTTCTGCCCCAACTTCACAGGTGGTATGGCGTGGAGCATAAAACTTTGCTGGGGAACCTGCTTTATTAGTGCAGAACTGCAAAGAAAATTAAAAAACCTTTCACTCAGCTTTTTGAGAA